GACCGAGCGGGCCGAACGAGAATTTGCACGCCCGGCATGCAAACAGGAAAGTGGACACGACGCCAAACAGCAAGTGTGATCCAAAACCGACAGCTGATGGACCTGTTTTCCACCACCACCACCATGAGGGGGGAAGGAGGAGGAGGACGAGGAGAAGGAAGGAGAGGAAGAGGAAAAGAAGGAGGGCGAGGAGGTGGAGGAGGCGGAGGAGGACCCCCTCCCACTCCAACTTATGGTGGTGGTGGTGGTGGTGATGGTGGTGGTTCTGGTGGTGGTGGTGGTGGTGGTGGTGGTGGTGGTGGCAAACAAGCCCGTCAGGCAGCGGCCGCTGGGGGACCGCTCGCTGGGGGACCGCTCGCCCACGAGCCCGCTCGCCCACAAGCCCGCTCACCCAGGCGACAGGGCGCGGGGCGGGGGGGATGCAAGTGCACACGTAGAAGAGGAGGAGGAGGTGGAGGAGGAGGAGGAGGAGGAGGAAGAGGAGGAGAAGGAAGAGGAGGAGGAGGAAGAGGAGGAGGAGGAAGAGGAGGAGGACGAGGGGGCGGGGGGGAGAATAAGGAGGAGGAGGAGGAGGAGGAAGAGGAGGAGGAGGAGTAGGAGGAGGAGGAGGAGGGGGAGGAGGAGGAGGAGGAAGGGGGGCGGCGGAGGGGGAGGCGGAGGAGGAGGAGGTGGAGGGGCAGAAAGGGGGGGAGGAGGAGAGGCGGACGCTGACAGGAGGGCCCGCGGAGGCAAGGGACGAACAAAAACACGCGTGCACTTGCAAACCTCGGCGATGCGCTGCCACTGCCCCCCGCCGTGTGACACGACGCGCCCGCGGCGCGCGCGGAGCGCGGGGCACGGCCGACATCGTGAACCCGTTCGCGAAGCCACTGCGCCCGGCACTCGAACGCAAAGTCGGGTGGGCGGGCCCCAACGGGCGGGGTCGGGTCGGGCGGGCGGGAAATGGAAGTGTGGCGCACACTCGAACGAGCACGCGTGAGCCCTGGGCGGGTCGGGTCGGGCGGGCGCACCGTAACGGGCAGGTCGGCTGGGCAGGCGCACCCTGACGGGCGGGCCGGGTCGGGAAGGCGGAGCATTCAAGTATGTGAGCGTTTTCTTGTTCTTACGTGAGCGCCCCGCACTCGAACGCAGAGCCGGGCTGGCGGACCCTACTGGTAGGTCGGGCATGTCCTCCTGTACAGGGGAAATGTCGGACGAAAAATAAAACAATGGTTAAAACATGCTCCCAAATGGTCAAACATACTCCCAAATGGTCAAAAACGATGATAAAAAAAAATCGTGCCCAACTACTTGTTGACCAGTTGTGGCTCTCCCTCCTGTAGAAGGCCGTGCCCGACTTGACCCTCACGGGCGGAGTCGGGTCGGGCGGGCGGGGCACGCAGCGTGGCGCGCACGCTCGCGCGAGCACGCGGTGAGCCCCCTCATCGGCGGACCGGGTCGGGCGCGCTCGGCTGGGGCAGGCGCACCCCGACGGGCGGGCCGGGTCAGGGCGGCGGAGCATTCAAATACGTGGGCGCTTTCTTATTCGGCGTTTCGACTCTGGGCGTAAAGAGGGGGTCGGGTGTTGCTAGAAGTACCCCTGGCACATCCCTCACTTGGCCCAGAGGGCCCCAGGGCCCCCAAAATGAAGCGAAAAGCTGGGGGCACCTTGGGCCAAGGGCACTTCTAGCCGTACCCGAGGGGGGAGGGGGGGGGGGGTCTGGCTCAGGACCTCTGCTTCACGCGACTGTTTGCAGCGGTGCGTCCTGTGGGGGAGGGGCTCCAACTGCTCCAGGCGAGACCAGAAACAGCCAAGATCCGTAACCCTCCCGCGGGGGGGGGGGGGGAGGGGGGGGTGCGAGGGCCCGCGCCGATCGGCCAAACAATGAAAAAGAAAACGGCGGCTATGATGCGCACTCGAGTGAGCACGCGTGAACGGGCGGGTCGAGCCGGGCGGGCGCACCCTCACAGGCGCGTCGGGTCGGGCGGGCGGGACATTCAAGTCCGGGGGCGAGGGGGAGAGAGATCGCAGTGAATCGACGGAGAGCACCCCGCCAGGAAATAGGTCTCTCTATCGTCTTCGTGTCGCGCGTGCGGGCGAGGCGAAGCTGCGTAGGCTTGCGAGAAGAATGGACCCCCCTCTGGCTTGGGCGCCGACTGGCCAAAAGACCCCCCCCCTGGTTTGGCGGGCAATGGCCCGCCAATGTCCCGCGGGTGTGCCAACGATGTCCCGTCGTTGTCGGTTTTTCGTCAATGTCCCGTGGGTGTCCCGTCGGTGTCCCGTCGGTATCCCGCTGGTGTCCCGTCGGTGTCGGTGTCCCGTCGATGTCCCTTCGGTGTCCTGTCGGTGTTCCGTCGGTGTCCCGTCGGGAGTAAGATCAATAGTACGACCGATAGTGAGGTCGATAGTGAGATCGACAGTGAGATCGATGGTGAAATCGAAAGTGAGACCAATGGTAATTTCGAATATGAGATCAGTTATGATATCAATAGTGAGATCGACAGTGAGATCAATAATAAGATCGATAGTGGTATCGATAGTGAGGTCGACAGTGAAAACAACGATAGTGAGATCGTTAGTAAGATCTATCTTGTAATCGATAGTGCTATCGGTAGTAAGATCGAAAATGAGACCGATGGTGTTTTGGAATATGAGATCGGTAATGAGATCGATAGTGAGATCCATTATGATATCGATAACCGGGTCAATAGTGGTATTGATAGTGATCTCGACAGTGATATCGCTAGTGATATCAATTTGAGATCGCTTGCGAGATCGACGGTGTGATCGAAAGTGGAATCGATGGAATAATGAGATCAACAACGAGATCGATAGTGATGCCCTGTCGGTGTCCCGTAGTCAGATCGATACTGGTATCGATAGTGAGATCGGCAATGGTATCGATAGTGAGATCGATCGTGGGATCGATCGTGAAATCGATAGTGAGATCGATAGTGGGATTGACGGTGAGGTCGGTGGTGAAATCGATAATGATATCGCTAGCAGGATCGATCGTGAGATCAACAGTGGGTTCGATAGTGCTGGCGATAGTGAGATCGACAATGAGATCGATTCAGTGATCGATTGGCTCATCCCGAGAACCTGCTGGTCACCCGAAGGGTGGTGGCATAGGTATGGTGCCCTCTCGAGTTAGCACGCGTGAGCCCTCATGGGCGGATCGGGCGGGGCGGGCGCACCGCAACGGGCGGGCCGGGTCGGGCATCAAGGACATTATGAAGGGGCCCTGGGACACACAAATAACTACACAAATAAAAAGATTCCCTATATTTTCCAATACTTTCTGGGTCTTTGTCTTCCCCCCCACTTCCCATTGTTTCTCATATTTTCTGGGGAGTCGACGATTAATTGTGTCTGTGTGTTTTTCCCCTCCTGACATTAAAAAGTATTACGCGCACTCGACTCGGGTGAGCACGCGCGAACCTTCATGGGCGGGTCGGCCCAGGCGGGCGCACCCAGAACCTTACAACGGGCGAGTCGGGTCGGGCAGGCGCACCCTAATCTGGGCGGGTCGGGTCGGCGGGCGGAGCCTACTCAGTGGGACGGATCGGGGGGGCGGGACATCAACGTATGGTGCTCGGGAGCGGCCAAGAGGGGGGTGTCCAAGAGGGGGGGGGTGCAAATCATGACCGGCGGCATGTGCGCGGCCCAGCGGGGGGGCCAGGGACGTAATGAACTAAGAAGAGGCGCCATGAAATCTGGGGAAAAATCATGGCCCCCGCCATGATATCCACCCCCCCCTAGTCATCACCCCCCTCTTTGCCGCCCCCGAGGTGCACACCCGAGGGAGCACGCGTGAACCCTACTGGGCGGGTCGGGTCGGGTCGGGCATGGTCGGGCGGAACCACGAGCGAGCACGAGCAGACCCTAAAACGCGGGCCGCGTCGGGCGAGGGCATCCGAACGAGCGGGTCGGGCCGGGCACACCCTAATGAGCGGGTCGGGTCGGGCGGGACCTAACGGGCGGGTCGGACGGGCGGGACATAAAGTATAGTGCGCACTCGAGCGAACATGCGTGAACCCCGACGGTCGGGGCGGGTCGAGCGAACGGACCCTGACGGGCGGGTCGGGTCGGGCGGGCGGATTTGAACGGCCCCCGAACGGACGGATTGGGCGGGAGGACGGCGACGGCGGCGAAGGTGGCCACGACGACGTCGACGGCGGCGACGTCGACGGCGGCGACGACGACGTCGGCGGCGGCGGCGGCGGCGACGACCATTGCGACAACGGCGACGGCGACGGCGGCTGCGACGAGGGCGACGGCGACGGCGGGAGGGAGATGGGAGGAGCGGGAGGGAAGGATGAGGGGAAGTAGCGGGGATGAGGGAGTAAAGGATGATGGATGAGATGAGGGGAGGGCTGAGGGATGAGGGAGGCAAGTTGGGATGAGAGAGGGATTGATGATGGATGAGGGAGGACATTCTGAGGGATGGGAGGACGTCGCAGAGACCAGGGATGATCGAGGGCGGGAGGAGGAGAACGAGGAAGAGAAGCAGCGTGAGAAACGAGGGAGAGCAGCAGAAGGGGCACCAGCAGCAACACATAGAGAGATAAGAAACGCTTCTGCCGGAGCGGGCATCTGCCAGAGCGGGGCCGGAGCGGGCTTCTGCCGGGGAGGCCTTCTGCCGGAGCGGGCTTCTGCCAGAGCGGGCTTCTGCTGGAGCAGTCTCTGCTGGAGCGGTCCTGCCGGAGCGGGGCCTCGGCCGGAGCGGTCTTCTCTCAGTCTTGGGACGAGGGCCTCCCTTCGATCGTGCCGGGGGCCAGCCGAGTGAGGGAGGGGAGGGCGCGGGTGGGGAGGCCAAAAGGTACCGATACCGCTTCTCCCCAGACCTCTCCCGGGGGCGCGTTCTGGCCAGGACTTCAGGGCGAAGCCAGCGGTGGCGACGAGGGCCTCCGAGGAGGCCCAGAAAGAGGGAAACGAGGCAGGGGTAGCAGTGTGTGGGTACCTTTCCCCTCCTCTGACGGGGGGGGGGACCGGCGCCTGGGATGGCGTCTTGCGCGCG